TGGATGAAAGTAAATGCAAGACAGTAATGTAAAACTGACATGTTGATGATTGATCTTGATCTTAGAGAACTGCACGGATGAGACTCACATCCTTAAAGGTTTTTACTTCACTTCTATCCGCTGTAAGCAACATCGTAAACCCCATGATTTAATGCAGATTTACGGAGTTTCCAACAACATTTGAAAATGATAAACACAAAGTGAATACTGAGAATTTGGGAAGAAATCGCCAAGAATACTAAGAGAGCTTTGAATTTTCATGTGTGGAATACGACTCCTAGGGAGCTGTATTTATAGGTGTCAAAACCCTAGAAGGCAGAAAAGGGCCCTCATTGGTCGGCCCATAGAAACCCTAGGGCGATGACTTGCTCTCAAATCAAGCCGTTTTCTGAGCCTTCTAGAACATTATGTGACCTTATCCACGAAGTCAATTGTTTGACCGGATTGGTCAAACTGACTTGAGCCGAACTTGTTAAAAATAAAAGCTCCTCAGCTCCCGATGCGAAGTGCGCCTAAATCTCGCATTCGCGGTGTCGGCTAGTGCTAGGCTGGGCTAGGCGCGCGTGTATGGGCTTGACCCATTCCTTTAATCCACTAAAGCCTTTGAAGGCCTATCAAGTGGAAAACCTTATAAATCCACTAAATGTTTCTTCCTCCACCAATGTGGGATAGATAAAACTTGCCAACTTGCAATATTTCCTCTATAATTTCCAACAGTGAGTAGATGCTAACATATAAAACATAAAAAGTGTGTAAAGTTAGAATAATATTTAACAAGAATAAGAAAGTATGTGACGAAATACACCTGTTTTTTTAGAAATGACACTTTATATAAAAACAAAAAAAGACTAGCAAGAAGCTAGCTAAAAAAGGTCTAAGTCATTACAAGAAAACAAGAGTTGGGCTTTGGAGCCACCACATCCAATCAAAAGACAATTTAGACCTATTAGAACACCAAAGGTAAGAATGAGAAAAAATGCTATTAAAAATCTGACACTTCTTGGTTGCTCGTTACCAAAATGCTCTTATTTCGAAACATCCATAAGAACCACTAAGCAATAAAGAACAGTCCTTCCAAAACATCTTTAAACTTCTTCCTCAATCTAACATTATCAAACCAATCTACCCAACCAGTAGAATTAAAATTATGATCCTCCGTACCTTACCACTTGAAAACTTTATCCAAAACTGCTTTAGCAACGAAGCAGGAAAAGAACACGTGATTTACCTAATGACAAGAAGAAATGTATTTGGTCTCCTACACACAAAAAGAACAATTTAACACATACAAAGTAGGGGTGTTCAAAACCGAATATCTAAAAATTCGAGTATCCGAAAATTCGGATAGTATATTTTTTTATCCGAATCCGTATCTGAAATTCGAATATCAGAAATTTCGGGTACGGATTCGGATACCAAAATTGGATCTCCGAAATTTTTAGATTTTGATCGGTATCAAATATCAATCCATACAATCAATGTATTAACACAACTAGTTGTGAGACCCATGTATTACATGGGTTAATTTTTTTTTTAGAAAAAAAAGATAAATATAAATGTCAAAATATTTGAGAACTTTGAATTTATATTAAAATAAAAAAAATAATGAATTATTATAATGGAAATGTTTTTTTATCTTTTAAATTTAAATAAATAAACAAAAGAAATTAATGAGTTTTAATTTTGGGAATTATGAAATTAGAAGATAAGTTCATTAATAAAATTGATATCAATTTATTACTATATTTATTATAATTATTACATTAAAATATTATGTGAAATTTAATGAAACAGAAAAACTCATAAAATTACATTTGGAAAAAATTAATTCAAAATAACAATAAAATGACATTTGACAAATTGAATAAGAATGTAAAAAAAAAAAAAAGAAACTTCAATTATTAGAGTAGATTAGTTGCTCAAAAATTGTATTAACAAATTTATGATCAATAAAAATCCAATGACTAGCAAATTTGAGATCAAATGAACCCATAGTTAAACCGCATAACCTATTAAAACAGCGAATGTGTTAACCTATTAATAGCGTGCGAGATTAATTTTATATTAGACAAATTAAAAACCATTAATTATCAATTTAAGACACCTAAAACATTGAACCATTTAGTCAAAGCAACATCATCACTATCACTGTATATTAGAAAAAAAAAAAAAAAAAAAAAAAAACTTAGAACCATTAACTCAAAGCTTTATTCTTCAATTGCTAGCTTTTAATCCACAAATTAAAAAATACCTAAAAAACAGTTGCATATTATCATATAACACAACATCATGGTTTAAATAAAGAAACACTATCGATTTAACAATCTTGACATTACTTTTGAATGAAAATTTACAAACGATGAGATAAAATCTAGTAACACAATTAAAAACCATATATTTTTTTAACTTATAACTGTAAATATATGTGGAGCTCAAGATTGTCTCACCAAAAGAGTAATTGTGAAGAGAAGAGGAATTTCAACATATATAGTCATTTATATTACCGTGTCGTACCGATATGGGATACACTAACACTCTTCCTCATAATCGGAGGCTCGATGAGGATAGACAGGGACGTGCCGAACCATGGGGGTGTGAGACATCGACTCTTAAAATTGTTTAGGACGCTTTGATACCATGAAAATATATGTGGAGTTCAATATTGTCTCACCAAAAGAATCATTATGCACAGAAAGTGATTCCAACATGTATAGTCACGTATATTACCGTGTCATACCGATGTGAGATATACTAACAACAATCTTCCTTATTTATATAATCAAGTAGTAAGATAAAATAAAAAAATAAAATAAAACAATCACAATTTCGGATATCGGATATCCAAAATATTCGAAAATGTATAAAATGACTATCCGTATCCGAATCCGAAAAACCGGATATCTGAATTTCGGGTATCCAAAATTTCGGATATCTGAAAATTCGGATAATTTCGGATCGGATATCGCATTTTTCGGATTTGATTATCGGATACGGATATTTTTGAACACCTCTAATGCAAAACACTTTGTAATGGTTAATGTTATAAAATAGTTCAAATTTTATATATTGATTTTTGTTGGATTAAATATCAATTTGATTTTTTTTTAAATTTAAAAAAGATTCCACATTTTTCAATCTGTTTTTAAGTTGGTCATTCTAACTAGTTAACCGATACCACTCTGGTTTTGGATAATTTTTTCTGAAAAAACCCTTCACATTATTTCTTCCAAAAGAAGTAAATTTGAAAATTTTTCTCAAGAAAACCTTTACATTGACAAACTTTTTCTTTTAAACCAACTTTTTTTTTTGCATTTTCTTTATTTTGGCTCATAACTCTCATACATTTTGTTGTTGTTCATGATAGTTTTAACATTAAAATATGAAGGAACAATTAATTTTATTTTAAACAAAGAGAATTATGTCGTGTTAAATTATTGTTGGCAAAATGCATATCAAAAATTATTTGCAGGATTTCAAAGATTGTAACAAGTAAAAACAACTACCTAGTTTGACTTAACATTGTTTTGTAACGAAAAAAACATGAAAGCTTAGACTAGCTTCTAAACATAGATTGGTGTTAGTAAGCTATATTTCTATTTGGTTCTTAAAACAATCTAAATATCAAGCAAACTTATATCGATGTTCTTGACCTGCTACAATCACTATCATTGAACATCATAAAAATATATTTTGATGTGTATTTTGCCAAAATATTGGATACAATAGTCTTTCTCTTTGTTTCAAAAAAAAAACAAACAAACAAATAAAAAAAAAACAGAACAAATGTATCCACCTACTAATGGACGGCTTGATAGGTAAAATAAGCGACACTTCTTCCTTCCTCATAGGAGGTCATGAGTTTGAGTCCGATGAGGATTTCAATAACAAGATGGTCATATGGCCCCTTCTTCCCCACAGATGGTGTTTAAACTAGACCATGTGTTCTGTTAGACATGCATGGCATCGAGGTTGCATCAGCTAGGTCATAAAAAATTAGGTCAGTTGGGGTCCTTGGTTATTAAAAAAAAAACAAATATGTTTTTTTCATATTCTAATGTTGAAAATCATTAAGAATATCATAAACAACAAAGAACATGAAAACTATGAATCAATACAAAAATGTTGGTGCAAATGAAAACAAAAATTAAATCTCAAACGAATATAATAACATCATAATGGATGAGATCAATTTTAAGATTAAAAATATTATAACGGGAAAAACAAAAAACATAAAAGCTGAAATTAGATTCTAAAAATATTCTATGTAAAGTTTCTTTCGGACAAAAAAGTTGGTTTTTTTTTCTCAAAACATTGACTAAACAGGAAGATTACAAGTAAATTTGATTCAAATGGGAAAAAGAAAAAAAAATAATAGTTTTTTGAGGAAAAAAATAAATTGATATACTCCCAAATAAATGAAAATAATTTTGCCACATGTCACTCTCTTATTAATTTGGACACATGTCATTTTTTGGTATTTTTGATTAAATGTTTTTTCCATTTGTTATTTTCTTATTTATTTTTTATCTTTTCTTAATTAACACATCATATTTAAATCTCAATTAATAATTGTCTTAATTGAAAATAACCAATAAATTACAATATTAGCACTAATATAGTATTTAATATGTTTCCTTTTCAATTCAAATTTTAAATTTTAAATTTCAAATCTAAAATTTCAAATTTAAATAAATTTTTATTTAAACTTTTATATTTAATTTTTATTTTATCAAACCCGTATAACATACGGGTCTCACACCTAGTTTACAATAACTAAAATTTATGAGAATAGTCGCATTGCCTTCGATAGTATTAGGTGTCTTAATAACGTTGACTATATATATATATATATATATATATATATATATATATATATATATATATATATATATATATATATATATATATAAACTAACTCCTATCTGGTAAGTCCATCAAGTCATAAAGGAAAAAGGAAATCAAATAATTTGGCTTATGTTACTCTTGTTTGTGTTTTAAAGATGCAGCCAGCCCCACAAGGAGAATTCGAGTCTCTCCATCGTGACCTAATAATTGCATACGGTAAATGGGAATTTGATCCAATGGAGCTCGAGGATCCCTTTACAAATGATGAAGGATCAGTTCACATATGGATGGGTGATAATGACGATTTTGTTCCTGTGGCATTACAACGTTACATTGCTCAAAAACTCCCATGGATCAAATACCACGAGATCCCAGGTGCTGGCCACATGTTTTTTTTAGCTGATGGTATGTCCGACACCATCTTGAAAACACTCCTTAATGTGAAAGATTAGCTTAATGTCCCATGGGCTTTTAAAACTCGATTTGTTTTGTTATTTTCAGTCTAAATTAAAAAAAGTGTGTTATTTCGGTGTCATATACGGAATTGGATCACTTGGTCTTTGTATGATAGGCTTTTAAAACTCGATTTGTTTTGTTATTTTCATTCTAAATTGGAGAAGTGTGTTATTTCGGCGACATGTTGTGCATGATATGATATTTGATGGGTTTAGTTACAAATTAAGTAACTGAGTATCGTTCAATATTCATTTTTTGGTGGGCTTTTTTCTCCTCCTCTTTGTTGTCTTCAAGGGGTGCCATGGGGTACTCAACTTCCTTTTTAATAAAATAACTCTCATTTCAATGTAGAAAGAGGTGGATCGGATTGGGAACCTCTCCCTCATTTGGAATAATTTGTCAAACTCATCTAATTCACATAATTTTAGGGATATCTCGTGAAAGAACCTAATGTTTTGATATATTTTTTTATAAATCGTATTCAATCTTATATGAACATTTCCCTTATTTAAAGCAAAATTGTGCCAATTTGTTGTTGATTAGAACATGAACGGAGAAAGAAGTTGTGACTATGTGAACTTATTTGTAATCAAGGTTTTATTTAACTTTGTCTGTTTTTTTTAAACGGCAAACTATCATACTCCTAATCTAATCCTAAATACCATTTATGTCTCCTAGTGAGACTTGAACCCATGACCTCTGTTGATATGGGCGTGAGTTGTCCTTTACACCTCTGATTTATTAAACCTAAAATTACAAAATATTAATAAGCTAAAACAAAAGAAATTGTGTGGTATATATAAAAGATTTGCAAGCTTGACATTGACCCTATCGATCTAATCATGTTATGATTGAGGTCATTTCTTGGAGGGTCGTAGAGTGACAGGAACCAACGATTAGGCTCACATTTCTAAATTTGTTATTAAGAACGAGATACAACATGATTCAATTTGGCTTTTAGTAAGGTATCTTTTTATAGAAGAGAGAATTTACTCATAACAATAAAAAAAATATCAAATATCCTTTTTTTTTTTTTTTTCCTACTCATCTTGCTATTCACTAGATCAATGCAAGTGGCAAAATCAAGAAAGAAGATTAAAAAAATAATAATAGATTCAACGTGTTATTATTTTATATGAGTTATTTTATATGAGTAGGAAGATGTATAAAAACATAATAATATTTAATTTCCTTAACAATAAACATCATTTTCAATGAGTTTTTAACTTCTATATGCCTAAAGCCATTTATTAATAACATTACAAGCCACACAAGTTGTGTTGTCCGAGATTAGGCCACATGTGTTTGCAGGAGTGATTTGGTTATGATCTCATAGAAATGACGTCATGTTAATATGAGCTCTTCCTTGTACTTTCACTACAAAGAAAAAGCCCAAATAACTATGAAAATTTGCTAAGAAAGTAGAATCCATTGCTATTCTGCTAGAAAACTTGCTACAAAATACCATATCATAACTGATATTTGAATAGTTATGAAAGTATGTGATCCGACATTTGTCCGTTTTGGATTATAACAAAGATGTTGCTAGGCAGAAAGAATGGATAAGGTTTGCATTACTTACAGTAAGTCTTGTAATTAGTTTTTATTTACTGGACCATTGAGTTATTTTAGGAAGTTATTGAGTTATTTTAGGATGTTTTTATGTTTAGCACGACACTATAAATATGGTGCTCCATTCCTTATTTTTTTTTTTCATGCATTCAATAAATTTGGTCTTTGACTATCTTCTCGTACACATGTTGATTTCAAACCATTCTCCTAAGGCTTGGTATCAATGTCCTCGATTCCGATTTCAAGATGTTGAATGTAACACACATACTTTTGAAACCTTTAAAATACTATGGTTGCGCTATTATCATGACAATAACACATGATCAAAATATGGTTTTACAAAAACTTCCAAAAAAATAAAAATAAAATAATAAAATAAAATAAAATAATCAGAGTATAAACGTTTGGTGTTACAAAACTAATATCACAACCATAATATATGGGTAATATTTATACAACCCTGAGACTATGTTAAGTGTTCCATAAGCATTCACTAATAGTGTTGTTCTAGTCCTTAGCTTCCAAACCTAAGTACATAACACATTTAAAACAAAATAGTAAATCGATGGAAGAACCCACGCAGTCTCGCTAATGGGGTCAGTGAGTGCGATGACATCAGGACCTGTGACTTTGAAATAAGTGGATCGTCCTAGCATCCAAACATTCCCACCCGGAGCAGGACGTACATGTGCATGGCCCGAAGGTTTTGCAGGGTCAGACGAAATGAGTCACACGAAAAGAAGGTATACTCCGGGGGAAACTGCTCCGAGACAGCACGAGCAATGACTGTGATCAGACCACCACAACAAATGGCACTGCCGCTGTTAGGTGTATAACTCTATGGAATCTCTTGATGATTAAATCACCAAGATGAGGGCGGTACGATCCAGTGATCATGCACCATAAAAGGAAAAACTTGGCTTTGTCGGCTTTGGTGGTCTCGACCTGTGAGTAAATAATATTGCAAATAATTTTTAACGCAATTTTTAGGACTGGGTGGACAATGCTGGTCTGAAGGGATTGGGACGCCTCGTAACGGTCCAATCCTATGATGGAATACCAAAAATCGCGCACATAGAAACTAACGATAGGCTGAGACAGGTTGGTAATGGGTGCATGGAAAAAGATACACAACTGGTCAACGTGGATGGAATGGGGAGTACTAAAACAGCGGAAGACGAAGTTCCCCTCTTGGTTAACTTCAGTCAGAGTTGCCAAGAACTCTCTGGTCAATAAGGAACAAGTGGGCTGCACTCAAAAGACGCTCCCAGCCAATATTGGCAAAAAGAGCACGAACACCATCATAAATATGGAGTTCCCGCATTAATGTGCGACTGGGGACCAGGCCTGCGGTAAAATCTCGTGTTTAAGGAGCTGCTGATAGCAGTCAAAAGCAGCTTGGGAGCCTAAATCTACAGTGATATTGTCCATCTGGACAATGAATGACTGGTCCTGAGTGTTAGCATTTCGGCGTGAACGGGTAGGTCTAGGAGGCATTTTCAGGTCAACAATTGGGACAAATAAGACACAATTTCCAGATAAATAATTATCAAGCAAAAATAAAGTTTTATAACTACTCCCAAAGCGGATACGCAAGCCCGCACATATATATAACAGGAACAAAAGAGCTTAGTTCCAGAACGAATATACCTGACTGCGTTGAGCAGCATTATATTTTTCACGTCTGAAAAATTTTTGAGTTTTGAAATTCCGTCTGGATGAACCTCTTCTGAACTGTGTCCGAAACAAACATTTCAAGTTTTTAGGACCTGCGGAGTTCTAACGGAGTGTAGATCTGAAAAAGAAACTCACAAAAATTCAAATTTCAAAATGAAGAAAATGAGATTTTTGGAGAATTTCAACCATGAAATCGTGATTTTGATACCGTAGGGATGTAGTAGAAGTAAAATAGAAGAGATTGATACCTCGTTTGCTTGATTTGGATGAAAAACGAAGGATTTATGTGAATTTTGGTGAAAAAACGGAAGAAAACTAGAACTAGAGAGAGAATTGCGAGTTGTGGGGTGCAACAAATGAAGGATGCGACTCAGATTTATAGCTGCAATGAAACTTGCGATCGTATGGGGACATGTTGCGATCGCATGTTTTTGAATTTTGTTGAAAATCGATGTTTTAAGCGTTGACGAACATCCACGTGGAGAAAACTAGAAACATGCGATCGCATGTTCTAAGGTTGCGATCGCAAGTTTTATAAAAATGACGTTTTTTTTGTGGTATAGGCCTCGAGGGTGTAACATTGTTCAAAAACCAAAAGATGCGATCGCATGGACTATACCTGCGATCACATAAACTCGAGTTTCGTCAAAAATCGGCTCAAAAATCCTCTATGTCCTCCTACGATAAAAAAAAAACAAAAGTTGCGATCGCAAGGACTATACCTGCGATCGCATGTCCCACAAAAGTTGATTTTTTTAAAAAACTTTGCAAATTATCGCTGTTCCTTTTTGTACGAAAAACACAATTCAATTAAAAGGAAACGACCTAAGTAACTTAAAACACGCAAAAATTGAAAATAAGTTGCAAAAACAAAAACCAAAAGCAAACACCCGTGTTGCCTCCTGGTAAGCTGCCCGTTTTTAATGTCGTTGGCTCGACGTTGTTACTAGATTTCCTCAATTGCGGTAAGTCGGGACCTCGACTACCTCCACTTCCTCATTTGTAACTTGAAACCCTTCGTAAAAAGGTTTGATACGATGACCATTAACTTTAAAAAATATTTCCTGTTTGTTTACTCTTGATTTCTATGGCACCATGATCAAACACGTTAGTAGCAACAAAAGGTCCCACCCAACGAGACCTTAATTTACCGGAAATAATTTTGAAACGAGAGTGATATAAGAGTACCTTTTGACCGGTAATGAATACCTTTGGCGAGATCATCTTGTCGTGAAAAGCTTTCGTCTTCTCCTTATAGATTACTTCGTTCTCGTAAGCATCGTTCCGGATTCCCTTTAAATCCTGGATGTCCAATTTCCTCTTCTTTCCAGCTTCATCCATGCTCAAATTCAAATTCTTGACAGCCCAATATGCTCGATACTCCAATTCAACCGGTAATCGACAAGGTTTGCCAAAAACAGTTCGATATGGTGACATACCGATAAAAGTCTTGTACGTTGTCCGGTGAGCCCATAATGCATCATCCAATCAAATGCTCCAATTTTTCTTGACAAGATGTTAAAGACCCAGTCATCTGGCACCTGTCACAAGTTTTGCAAAACAGAAAAGAGTCGCGAAAATATGAGGCCAATAAAGATCGTTGTCCAAAACCTTGTGTGCGGTTCATTGTGGACCATAATGCCCTCCACAAGCTTCTGAATGGCAGAAATTCAGAATTGAGTTGACTTCATCTTGGGGCACACATCTTCTAATAACTTGATCAACACAATGTTTCCACAAATATGGC